CTAGCAGAAGTGTTTGCTCTACTGCTTTGTCTTAATCACAATCATGTTCAGATCCTCTTGTCAAAAATGGTTCACCAGAAGAGAGAAAGTTTTGTTTTGTGCTAGAGCTTTTGCTTGTGTAACTGCTGTGGTTTTCCCCCTGTGGTGGGATGTTCTGAGGAGGCATTCTACAGATGAGCTGTTTCTCTAATCTGCAGGATGATTTATACCACACAGCATTTTATATCCCTGTGGATGTACAAAAGGGCAGGCTTGTGTACAAAACAGCTTCCTGCCTGCAAGGAGGCTCCAGCAGCTTCCTGGAGTGACCCCAGGCAGGGTCACAGCAGCTCCAGCCCAGCAGGGAGCAGGGCCTGGCTGCTGCTGGGTGCTCCCATCTCCCCTGGGCCAGTTTGATCAGGCTCAGAAGGAAGCTGTGAGTTCCTTCTCACTGCACCCAGCCAAGTGATCAGCTGCTGATCTAGAGTAGCTCAAAATTCTTCTATTTTAGTCCCATTTTGGGAGAAACAGGGGCAATGCTATTTTGGGAATATACAAATAGCTGAAAATCAATCTCTATCTAAAACCTATCTCATATCTAGTAGATGGTAATGTAAAAGCTGCTATAGCAAAAGGTCATTTCTCCACAAGAGCCTTTTCTACTCCCTGCCTTCTTTACTGCTTCTTACAGCCTAAAAGAATTCTTGTCTTGGGTTTCACAATCACATCCAAAACTTGCAGAACCCTGGATAAAACTTAGCTATGCAGGGACCAATGTTTCAGGAGTACTAAGAGTGATTACCAAGGGAGCAAAAAGAGGGTAAGGAATTGTTGTGTTGGGATAATGAAAAGCATCACAATGAAATGGTGAGTTGAAAATGATCTCACAGCAGGACACTGAAATGTTGTCCTTTCTGTGTCTGTCCAGCAAAAAAACCAAAACAAAACAACTCAGCCTTCTCTTGCCTATGTAAGTTGTGTAGTTTGTTATCTCTAGTATTATAAGTGTTTATAATCCATGAAGAATTCCAAGGAAAGGAGTTAAGACTATTTATTTAAATATAAATACAATTAAATTATATAATTAGTTCTAAATTATCAGATGTAGAAGACAAACAACTTGTTATTGTTTGGATAATTTTGGGTTTCATCAGAGCTAATACTGTTGGCATTATTTTAAACACTACCGTGTTAGGGAGTCAGTTTTTGACATTTGATCCTGCTGTTGGTAGTGCTTCAGTATCTCACAGTGCTCAGTTTTGGGGAAAGAAAACCTAATCCTAATAGTTTAATATGGAAAGATGTTGAAACCATACTGCTAAACATCTCTCAGTTTAGGCCCAAAGAGAAGGGGAAAGGGAAAAATTGTCATTTTGGATTTTTTTTTTAACTTTCTGAGAAATGTGGTATGAAAAAGGGATCCAAGAACTGTATTTGGGGGAAAAACGTCTTAAGGCATTTGTAGCCTTTCTTTGTACACAATGTTAAATAAAATCTCCTGTATCTATGTTGTCAGGTTCTTTTGGTCTTATTTAGATAAAAGTGGGCCTATATTACACTGAATGTGTGAATTGCATTCAGCTGAGTTTGCTGGGGGCATGGAATTTAACACTGCTGTTTCAAAATAAAAGCTGTTTCTTGTTTTACAAGATAGAGCTGTATCACCTAAAATGTAGAGGTCAGTACAGAGAACTAAACTGGAACAACTTGAATGTGTGGAAATAGTTTACATGGAAGGTAGAGAAACAGCTGAGCAACCCAGTCCCTGTTGAGATCTGTATGAATCCTTTTGTAGGAGTTCTGCTTCAAAACTCAGCCTGTCTCAGACTTTGTCAACTTTCCCCTTGTGTGCAGAGCACTTGAACTGCAGTCAGTGTTTACTGAGAAATCAGCTCTGGCCTCCAGTTCTTCAAACACTGCATGAAATTAGTGGGATTTTGTAGGAATCAGTGTGGAAACTGAATCAGTTATTTAAATCAAGTTGACTTGGTGCTTTATTTAAACATTGTTTAAATTATTAATGTAATTAAAGTACATTTATGTTTAAATATAGTCCAAATTTCATATAATATATAAACCTTTCTACAATAAAAAGATACCTGCTTGAAAGCTCTCTAGCCCATTTCATTAAGTGTGGATCACAAAGATGACAGGGTTCCATTGCAACATTGGAAATAGATAAAATGGAATGTAATGATTGACTGCATTGTTTAAAACTACACTGAGTGTCATGCTTACCTTGAACTGGGCAAAGGAGGGGAAACTCAATGACTATTGCTAATACTTCTGACTAATACATCAGTGGTGTGATGATATAATGTAAAAATGTGGAATTCTTCTGGCAAATGGTTTTCCCTGTCCCAGAAAGTGAACCCTTGAGGTGCAGCCACATGGAACAGCAGCTTCTGGATGAGCCTGGCAGGGATCATGTCCTGCACCGGGCACTCTGCACCCACAGCCAGCTCCTACCGTGTCCAGCTCTGCACTGCCAGCCTGGAGCATCCCAGCCACTCCTCCTGGATGCTTTTCCCCCGTTGAAGGCCCCCTGGTGCAGCCTGAGCAAAGCAGCCAACACACATCTGTGGCACCTGGAACGAGAGGAAGTGAATGGAACCTAAGGCTGGAGCAGGAGCAGGATGAGAAAGAACATGAGTGTAACAAGCACGGATGTTCCGTGCAAATTGCTGCACCTGAGCAGGTGTCTCTCCATTTTCCAGACTGCCCTGGGGCAGCAGCTCCCCCGAGGCCGGCGGGATCCAGCTGTCGGTGTGAGCAGGATCAGCCAGGAGCCTGCAGTTATGGAGATTCTGTAGTCCTCAGGGGCAGGCCAACCCAGAACTAACCACAAAGAGAAAGCGTTCCTAGCAGACAGCTGAACCGCTCGCACACACGTTACAGCACACAATGCTGCCATTTAACGCGGTTTTTTCAGCGACCTTTCAAGTTCCAGAACCAAGATCCAAGGCATATGCACCGTCAGCTAGCAGCTCGTTCATTAATTCACTGAGCTGAGCGGCTGCTTCCTGCTGCAAAGCAGAAAGCTGAGCCCTTTGTGGGCTGCCGTGAGAAATACATTGTTCAGAACAAATGCAGCCACTTTTCACATCCTTCATACAGAATTATTGCCATTGAAATGCCATTTTTTAGCTGATAACTTCAAAAACAACCTGAAGGTGGAAACAGGACAACATTTTGCTGAAGGTATCATGAAGCAGAAATTATAGCAGAATAACATTGGTCATAGTGTAGGAAAATAAACATTATTATTATTTAAGCATAAAGGAGCATTTCACTGTCAAATGAGTGCACCTTGTCTGTGCAGGGGAATCCTCACCAGGTAGGAGCAGGCAGAGTGACAAAGAAATGGCCAAGGAAGGGCATCTCATGAAATTGACTTTGTAAGACGCACAAACAGAAAAATGTTCCCACCATGTAAATCAAATGATGTTGCAATATCTGGCAGCACACATCCTGCTGGTTTTAAAGGGAATTCTGATGTAATAGAGATATCATTTGCTTTGATTTATAATATTGAAAATTTATCTTCACCAAAGATAATGAGGGGACTGTAAATCATACTTGCCCTACCAGTCTGCAACCTACAAATTCTGTATTCCTGTGAATTCTAGGAAGGAGTGTACCTCAAGGGAGAACACGCAACTCAGTCTTACACTGAAATGTTTCTTTTGCTAAAACAGCTGAGTTGGGAAAGCTTTATCCTAAATAGGGGGAAACTTTTACAGGAATGTGTCAAATCAGCACATTGTCTTCATTACTGTGTTCATAGCATTTCCCAGGCAGTGTCTGTAAACACAAACTCTGCTATACCTCCCACCAAAGCACCCACGCTGCAATTTGGGGTTATTAACTTCAGTTGCTGGCTGTTCGTGACAAGTCAAACATCCTGCACAGTGATGGGCTACACAGCTGAGCTCAGTTTAGTGCGTTTGAAGGGAGCTCAGACTCTGAAAGCTTGTGTGCAGGTGAGTTCTTGTCACCTAAGAAGGTAGAGCTATTTCCTACCACAATGTGCTGGTTTGGGCTGGGGTAGAGTTAATTTTCTTCAAGGTGGCCAGTATGGGCTATATTTTGCGTTTGTGCTGAACAGTGAAGAAAACTCTAGCCCATTTAAACCACGACACACATTTAAACATCTACTTCTCACTCGAATGAAAAGCTACAATTATAGATCTGGACAGTAAGGCAGAGGTTTACAAGACCCACAGCTCCCTCACTCATGTTTCCTGCACTGTGTGCACTTGGTGCTGGAGCTTAAAATATGCATGCTCATTCCTTGGCCCCAAAACCCCCCCCCCCCCCCAAACAAAATAATTGATTTTTTCACTAGTCCCAGGTGTGGGCCCTGGGCTGGGGCTGTTGCCGCCCTCCCACCCTCAGCAACGGGGAAGGGTGTGGAGCACAAGTGTGATGAGGGGCAGCTGAGGGAGCTCGGCCTGGAGAAAAGGAGGCTCAGGGGGGACCCTCTGTCCCTCACAACTCCCTGACAGGAGGATGAGGCCGTGAGGTGTCGGGGTCTGCTCCCGGCAACGAGGGACAGGATGAGAGGAACCGGCCTCAGGCTGCGCCAGGGCAGGCTCAGGTTGGACACGAGGAGTAATTTCTCCACAGAAGGGTTAATCCCACATCGGAACGGGCTGCCCTGGGCGGTGATGGAGTCACCGTGCCGGGAGGTGTTTGAGGACAGACTGAACGTGGCGCTCACTTCACGGCCATGTTCTAGATGACCCGATGTGTTGGGACACAGATTGGGCTCCGCTACCTGAGAATTTTTCCTCCCTACCTGAAGCCGCTACCCCGCGGTTCCGAGCCTCAGGTGCGGAGCGGGGCCGCCCGGAGGGCGGGGCGCGCTCACGGGCGGCGCGTGCGCGGGGCGGCCCCGCCCTTTCCCCTCACGGCCCCCGGGCTGGCGGGGGGCGCGTGCGCGGTGCCGCCAGGGGGCGGGGCGGAGGCGGGCGGAGGGGTCCCTGCCGTGCGCGCGCCCCTCCGCGCCCCCCCCCCGCTCCCGCCGGCCCGGCCCGCGCGGCGCCCCCGGAGCCGGGGCTGCGGAACAGCGGGAAGGAGGCGGCGGCTGCCCCGGTAAGCGCCGAGCGCCGGCGGGCACAGCCCGGCCCCGACCCCCGCCCGCCCGCCCGCCGGGGGGTCGCCCGCGGCCGCGCAGGCTCCGGCAGGGCCTGTGTCCCGCGCCCCGGCCGCAGCGCCTCGCGGCCGCGGGAAGCCCCGGGCGCGGCCCCTCCTCACCGCCTCCCGCGAGGGGCCGCGCTGTCACCCGCGGCGGTGACACCGCCCCGCGCCCGCTCGGGTCCCCCGCGCCTCAGGGGCCGCCCGCGGCACCCTCCGGCCGGCCTGGCGCTGTCAGCTGCGGTGCGGGAACCGCGGGGCTGGCGGGGAGTGGCGGAGCGGCCCCCGGTGCCGGCTGGCGGGGAGCGCAGCCTGGCCCGCGTCCGCATCCCTGGGGGAATCGTTCGCTTCACGCTGCGGGCTGGGAGAGGGATGGTGGGTGCGTGTGCAGCTCCCTGAGGAGGAACGCGGAGTGCCCGCGGTCAGCAGCGTTCCGGCTGGGTTTGGTGTGTTCGGGAGCACCTTTGTCTGCAATCTGGTGTCGTGCTTCTCTGGAGCGCGGTTTTTCTGCCTTTTTCGGGCTGAAGGAGCCTCTAAATTCCAGTTTTGTGCCTGCTGTCTGCCATCCTGTGCCTCACTTCCAAGTCTATCATGACCTGGTATTACTAGGGATGTAGGAAGGCAGGTTCCTATAGCAGAGCCAAATCCGGTCACCAGCCGGCTCTGAGGGTTCTGTACGCTGTGTCTTTAGAGGGAAAAACAATGCAGCGCTGTGCTGATGCTCAGCAAACTGCACCCTCCTCTCCACAACACCATCTGTGATCGCGTGAAGTGCCTGACTGTGCTGGGATCTGGAGAACAGAGTTCTCTTGTAGCAGAAAATGTGTCATGTAAGTGATTCTGCTGGGTGAAAAAAGCTCCAAGGAGCCGTGGGCTCTCTTGAAGGGCATAGTCTGTGCAAGCTCTGCTCACCCCAAGAGCAAACATAAACCTTCTGGAGCTGCTTCCTGCTTCATTAATGGTGTGGACTTTGGCTGCTGAAAGATAGGCAAACTAAAGCCCCTGGCTGCTTTTAACACTGTGGATCACAATGTAGGGCTGTAGTAGCTCAGAAGAGGAGAAGCAGTTTCTTCTCTGTCTCCAGCCTGGGTGAGTGTTGTTAGGTAGTTGCTAACAAAATTGAAAAGAGAAGGTCATTGTAAATAGTCTGAGATTAAAACTGGAAACTGAGACGGGAGTAGTCTCATGTTTCTTGTAACACTGCCACTTCACTTTCAGCTAATGGAAAAACCAGATTCCAGGCTGGTAAACTACATGAAGTAAGGAAAAAAACCCCTTGATTTCTCAGATGTTTTTGTATGGCTGAAGATACATCTCTTTTTCTTTATTTTTTGAATATGATACATAATTGGGAATAAAACCCCTCAGATATTTTTAACGTATTTTCCTATTCCTGTCAAATAAAGGGCCATCTAATTAGATAATGCAGCCCACATTTTCCCAGTTACTTTATCTGCTCAAGCTAATTGCTGACATGTGTTTTAGTGTGATCATCAGTAAAGATCTGTCTTCTCTCTCTGATTGTTTGAGGGTTTGTTGTATTAAAGTCTGATGATGGTGGAACACAGTGGGAAAACCTCAGTGCAGGGATTTCCAGGTGTCATGGACTGTTACCTTCTATTGTGATTTGCAGCTCTGGGGTATTTTTCATTTCCCTTTGTGCTTTAGGCTGGTGTGATCTCTGTGGCCTTCCAGGCATCTGCCAAAGGTGTCTTCTGCATCAGGAAGAACCTGGAACTATGGTTTCTATCAGTGGAGAGTGTGTATGGACACAGCAAATCAAACTTGGGCATTAGGCTGAGGTCTGGTAGGTGCCTGGCCACATCATTTCCAGCATGGGCACTGGCATGGCTTGCTTGGGCCAGCTGGAATTTTCCTGAGCCATACCTGGACATCATTTAAAGGTGGCAATTGCCAGGGCTAAAACTTCTTGAGTTTTAGAAGTTTTTGTCTTTAGCACAATGTTGGGATGGATATTTTTATGTTGGGATGGATATTTTTATGCTGCAAAGATTTAATTGTACAAAATAAATCTGATGTACAATCGACATTTTATGTATTGATAGCTATGTACTTAGAAGTAACGTTTTGCAGTCAAATTTGTGCCATTTTTGCTTTACTATTGGTATGAAGGAGGAAAATAGATTCTCAGTAGGTGGAGGCTATGGAAACTCCTTAGGAGATTTTTCACTAATGTAATTCAGAAGCTCTTTTTGGACCTTGTGGTGTTGGAGCCTGTGTTGCCTACAAGGATCCAGTCCTAGCAGTGTGCAATGCTATTAATGGGACTGAATCAGTATTGCTCATTGGGAAAACAGCATAAGAAATGTGAGGCTTGTACTTCCTGCCTTAAAAAATACCCCATTTAGTCTTATTTTTGGTCTTTCTACTGAAAAAGGGAGAAAGAGCAGTGTTGGAAGCTGATTTATGCACATAATGGTAGCCTTACATGACTAGCTACAAGGAACCCATTACTTGTTTCTTTTGAGCTTATTCCAACTGAAATGATCAGAGAAGGCACCATTTGGAGCACTTAGCACTAGTGCAGCCTGGAAATAATCACAGGATTCTATCTTTAAACATAAATAATTCATTAGTAGAGTTTTCACACATGTGTGCGTGATTTTCTTTGGGAAAAAAGACTTTACTGTCCTACACCTACAAGGCACTACAACTTTTGATCTTCATCAAACATACAGACTTTTGATCTTCATCTTCTTGAGGTGCTTCAGTTTTGCAAAGAACTGATACTGTGTTGTAAATCAGTGGCAGAGCTAGTAGCTTCCCAAATTGCAGGGAAGAAGAATAGAAGGATAAATTCTGAAGTTAGGTGAAAGGGGAAACCCTTTATGAAGGGTTTCAACCCACGAGGTTTCACTACCAAAAGGAAAAACAAAACTAGAACAAGTCACTGGTTGCATATTAAATGTTTATAAATCCACTAAAGCAAAATTTCAGAAGAGTAAATAACAAGTTTTTACTTACTTCAAAACTTGGTTTGACATTTTTGAGAGCTAAATCTTGCATGAATTTTATTTTCCATCCCTGTGTGCCAGAACGGAGCCAAGGTGATGACTGGCTGCAACTAATGGTTAGATTTGCAGTTTTGTTCAGAAAAATAAACTCAGCATCTAACATGTAGTACTTAAATAATAGTAAAAAAGAGTTAAGGTAGAGTTGAGGTACTGAGTGATGTATTTGATGACATCAGCCTGGAAGTATTTGTGTGTTTTGGATGCTGAAAGCATTTCCTTGGCTTTGGTCATTTGGGCAGTGTGGGACTCATGCTCTGCACAGGTACCTGCAGTGAGTAAAGGCTTTCTGTGGGATCTGCATTGGGGGACGTGGGTGGGAGGCATGACCAGGGTGCTGCCATTCTTACTGCTCCCTGAAGCTTTGTGTGTTCTTCTCAGTGCATTTCTGTGGACGTTTTTAATTAAAAGCACACAGTGGTTTTGGCAGATGGAGCCTTCGTGAGGCTTCGGCTGCAGAATTTCCTTGCTGTGGGAGGGTTGGTGCTGGAGAGTATTCCAGCATTGAAGTAATTCAGTGTATTTCTCTGCTAGAATATTGGCTTTGTATGGACAGGTCTTAAGTGACATGGGCAAGTTTATAAAAATGATCTGCTGAAGTTTGACTTTCTCTGTTTAGCCATAGGATTTTTAATTTTTTTTTCTCTCTTTCCTGAGTTGCTGGATTATACTGAGCTAAATTTTTCTTTTATTTAGCAAAAAAAAAATTTATTTTATTGAGGGTTGCTAGTGGGTGTGCATTTAAAGTAGCATCTGCTGTTCAGTGTCTTTTCAGACAATGGTCTTGCCTGTTTGAATTTGCTCTTCCCTAACAAGTGACCAGCACTTTAAATGGTTAATGGCAAATATTTCCTTCAAGCCCCTGAAGGAATATAGGCTTTTCTGGAAGAGAAAAGGAAAACCAAAGCTACTTTTATAGGCATGATTCCTTCCACAAATCTGAGTAACTGTGTACACTTGAAGTTTTAGTTTTGTTTTTATTTCTTTCTGTGACAAAAAAAACCAGAACCTTCTTTCAGTGACAGAATCATGCAAAGCTACTTTGTATCTGCACCTGCTTACATGAGACGGACAATTAATTTCTCTTTTGGAAATGATGGACTTCTTAAATGCATACAGTTGTTGTCATCAAATTATTCTTGATTTAGGATTTGTAAATATGAGATGCGTCCTTGAATGTGGCAATAGCATTGGATTGAACTGTACTGAGGTCATAAAGAAATGTCATGTTAATATGAAAACTTTGTGACATAAACTTTTTCCCCATTACTGTTGCTCTTCTTTCTAGTTTTATATAAAACTACAGGAGAAGGTTTCCTCAGCCTGCAGCATGGGTGTGCCTGGGACTTTGGAAAAGTTTAAAGGTGCCATCATGCTGTTCTCCAAAGGTTTTGATAGTTTGCTGGGATAGATATTGCTGTAAACAATGTAAATTCTGTTTGTGAAAACTCAGGAAAAACGGTAAAGACATTTTAAAGGGTATAGATCCAAGTGTGCAGATGAAGATTTCAGTCCACTTTGTTTCATATTCAGAACTACATTTGCTGTGTTAAAAATGTGAAATCATACAAATTCTTGTTAGAAAAACTTACTGACAGTTTTCTCAAAATCTTTCTGATGTACACACCTGTAAGAAATTAGTAGTGTCTATCTACAGAAGAAAATTAAGTCTATCAGTTATGGACATTAGTGTTGTAATATAAAGGATATTTAAAGGGAAATACTTCAGTATAGGCTTTTCTAATAGAAAGACTGCATTTTACTGGAGGAAAAATTATTCTGAGGCCTTCAGTCATGCATCAAGGTCCTGGATCTCCAGGTTTGCCAGGAAACCTGGAGATCCAGGAGCTTTTCAAGGAAATACCTTAAAAGTGTTTCACAATAGAAAGTGCACTTGGCATTCCATATCAGCTGATATCAGGATAT